AAAATATTTAAATTTGTTTTAAGCTGTTTACTGACATTTTAATTTTTCAACTTTTTTAGTTTTTTTTTCTTTCTTTAATATCGATAAAAATTTATGTGTTCGGTAGAAAAGCTTGAAAATTTAATACAAGGCTTCTAATACATTGTAACAATAGCAGTTAAAAAATATTAAAAATACATGGGCACAATTTTTTTTTAAGCATTTAAAGTTCAAATTTTGACTAAATACGTAAAAATTACGGCAATGTTCAAATTATTTTAAACTAGAAATTCTTAAAAAATTTTCTTTTTAAATCTAAGATTTGAAAATTTTTAATAATTTATAATATATTCTAGACAGATAAACCGTCTTCGCTAAGAATCGTTTTTCGTATACAATGATATAATATCATTGGATTCAAATTTAATTCCATCCATTACAGTAACCCACTTGTAACCTACTAACTGTACAGCAGAGCGACATCCACGACTTACCCACCTTTTTTTGTTTTAACATTGTTTAGTTTTGTTTTTAATACTGTATTTATAACAACTATGCAGCCTAAGAAAACAAAAGAAATAATAACATGTTTACTGCCTTGATTTATTGACTAAATACGAGGGTGGTTCAAATATGATCGAGACAAACGCTTTAGATGGCGTGCATGTATGTTTCAAAAATTAGCAAAATTAAGAAAAGCATTAATTAAGCAACTTTTTAGTGTAAACAACTCCAGGCTCTACTTATAACTTATTGAAAAATGCAAGAAGAAATGTTTTGTGCTCCATTACAGCATATTTTTTTTTATATATAATATAATAATATTTGTATGTTTTTACTATAGAAAAATATTTTACATTAAACAGAGCATCATATTTCAACTTTTTAACTTCAATATTTAGGTAAGAATCTMGGATCTTAGCCACAACTTACCTAAAATACCTACTTACCAGGAATTGTAGAGTATGCTATAAGAAAATCGGCATAAACAGGTATTTTAAATGAAGATGATCCATCCACTTGTGTTCTTAACTGAACGCCAGCATCCAATCGGTCTCCTTGACAAGCCTGTATAAAAAAAAGCTTTGGTTTTCCAGCTAATGTAACACATTTGTCACCAGTAAACCGTCCCCAAAGATTATCTTCTGGTTTATAAGCTCCATCTTTTGCATAAATTATGCCTTGTTCACCATGAGATAAAACAGCCATCAAAAGACAATCATAATTTGTATAATCTTCTTTAGCCCCTGTTAAAAAAATAAAATAACTTAAAAAACATAATATATAAATTAAATTTGTCAGTAAAGAAAATAGTATGCAATTCAGAAATAGCATAGATTAAATAACACTGTAGATAGACAACATTCATGTAAACCTTTGTCAAGTCTAAATTAAAATAATAAGTGATTAAGGATACCATTGGCATAGCCAATCATAGTGTTATTTAATCCATAGCTAAACAAATATGTATGATGTATGAAAGAAAATTAAAATATTTTGAATAAATAAATAATGTATATGGTATATTAAAAATGTTTGTAAAAATGTATACGTACAATAGTCAAGTTTTTTATCCAGTTCATCTAATGTTAAATCAACATATGGTGTAACATCAAATCCAAGGTTTTTTAAAGATGCTTCTAAATTTATACAATCTAATCCAGTTCCAGCTCTAGATTTAAGATCTCTAACTTGAAAGTGTTCATGGTTAAAGATTATAGCCTTTCCACGATACTTATGATGCATATTGTAATACCAAGCATCCTTATCTGTTGAACTAATACCAAAACTTTGACGAGTTGCACTTTTAAATCTATAATTAGAAAACAATTGTAAATTAATACCTATATGTTCAATTTTAAAGTGGAACTGCAATTAAATAAAAAATAAATAATACTCAAGTATTTAATTAACGATTATTGGTACTTAATACTTATAATTAACATAATTATATACATTATATTTTACACTATAATATACTTAATATTTACACTTAGTCTATATACAAAAAAAAACATAATTGTTTATTTACTATTTTCTGTTTATTACAAATTAGTTGAAGATATTTATAGATTTATAGATTTGAATATTAATTTATTATATTGTATATTTAAACCAAAATATTTTAAAAATTTGATTTTTAGTCCAGTTATTAAACAAAAAAATTTTAACTAGGTAAGGAAAACTAAAATTACCTGATTATTTCCAGATATAACCTTTTATATTTAATACAATTTACTTTTGATTTTGAATAATATGATATAAAAATTAATAATACAATACTAATTTTGATGGTATGCCCAATCAATACAGTAGCTTACCTAAAACAGTTGCCTACCAAATGTTTGAGAAACTTCCCGCTCCTGAATTTCTAACATGAAAATAACATAATATAATACAATATAATTTACAGATAATTAATTTATATTAATTAATCAACAATGAATAAGGTTTTAAGGTAAGTAAATCAAACTTATTAGGTACTGTTACGTAGTCATCAAGTATGTCGACATTCATACATTATGGAAAAGCACTTCCTTGTTTGAAATATTTTGTGTTTAATTATATACAGTCCCAAATTTGGTAAGACAAAAATGGAGAATTATGTAAGACCTAACATAATCTTAATCATGTATATCACAATACTCTGTATGACTATATATCCATATATTTATGATGAAATTCAGTACCAAAATAATAGTTGTAAAAAATTAACTTGAATTATATTGAAAATGAAATAAAATATTTATCAAATCTAAGTTTGTATTAAGTGAAATATTTCCTTTTAAAATATTATACAGTTAAAATTAAATAGGGATATTAGGTACATCAGAGAATCCAAAACCACATACATTATAGGTGAATCGCCTTGAAATATTTTATTTGATAGGTACTTAGTTTAACTAAGACTGCCCAAGTAGACATGAAGTTGATCAGATATTATAATAATTTCTCAAAATGTTAATAAAAAATATCTCATATGTATAGACAAAAGAAAGGGATTTATAAAATTATCAAAAATAACAATCACTCACAATGAACCAAAAGCGTCGCCAGTGTCATGGCCAGATTGATGCAACCCAGTCAACCCATCAAATTGTGTTGTCTGTGTACTACAGTTTGTAGAGACGGAGTTGCCGTTTTCATATCTGAAACGATAGAAAGGTTGATATGGAGAAAAAACAAGTATTAAAAAAAAAACAAAACAATCAACTCACTGCAAATCTTCGGTGTTTCCGTTTTTCTCCATCGTGGAATTTAAATATCACAATAGGTATACAACAATGTATGCGCTAGGAACTATTCTAGAATATTATGTTGAACAGATTAAAAGAGATTCGTATTTGATAAAAATGAATTCGTTGAGGCAGTGATTTGGCCAAAATACGTCACGAAAATAGCGTACGATCGAAGTTCAATTGCAGTTTAATCGCTGGTTTCGTTGACCCTGCAGGACTACAGAGTAGTGAGGAACTGAGGACTGAGACTTTAGAGTAGTCGGTGAGTAATGAGTAATGATTATAAATTATTCTCAGAGTTCGAATTTTATTAGAGAACAGAACTACAGAGTAATGAATACAGACTTTGTGTCAGTTTATCAACCGTTGGATTTTAGGAACTATGTAGAATCACTATCAACTGACAACTATAAATTCGTGACTACATAAATTTTGTCAAGTATATACTACAATATGCCACAGAAATTCTGATCGCTTGACGCTTGGTGTTGACGTTAAGACAACGACAAGTGCTTACTTGTAAGTGAGTTCTAATTGTTGTTAGTTGTTGTTGACTTGTGTTGTTGTTGTTGTGATTTGGTGAATCATTCAATCATTCAATACTACTACCKCAGTACCACAGTACCACGGGTAATACGAATCTCCATTGTTATCGCTATTCAGTGATGTAAGATGTCAATTACCAATATTCCCTTGCAAAATCTCCCATTTTTGATAAACACTTTCCAGCCTTAAAAACTATCTTCGTTGTTTTTCTTAGAATTTAGATACCTACCTACCTAGCTACCTAATACTATTGTTCTGTCTTCTGTGCTATATAATACCTTACGTCCTTACCTATTACTTATTAGTCCTATTATAATATTTATAATACTTAATACTAGCAGATGGAAAATTGTTTTAACATTACCAACAATAGAAACGTGATTACGACGGCCACGTACCAAAAATTACCCGATTTTTTTCACTGCAAGCCATTAAATTATTAAAATATTATATTTTATTAAATAGAAACGATTTTATTTTAGCAACCTATCAATTTAAAATTTTTTTTTTAATGTGTTTTTTTTTTTTATAGTTAAGGGTTAAGGCTTCGACAACTGAGGTCATTAGCCTGGGGAACTGTAGGGGAAGGAACTGTAAGGTTTTACTCGTGGGTTAAATGTGTTTTTGTATGTCTGTAAGAATACTAAGAATGTAAATATGTAATATAAAAAAGTCGAACACACCTCGTTTTGAAGTTATTAGAGTAAAACGGACAGGGGCAGTGACTACGCGTGTTTTGGCACTCGTTACTACGTTCCTCGACGCCATCTCTTTGCTCCTCAAATAGTCAAATCGCAAATATTCCTCGGCTTGTCGCGCAAAACCACCTCAGGTAAGTAACAGGGAAAAACAAATGTGGATATGTGAATATTTAAATTATATAATGTATTCTACTTGAGCAGTTACTACGCGTGTTTTGGCACTCGTTGCAACTATAGTACTATATTATAGAGTTCATTGATAGAGGCACTATCAAGATTCAAGGCACTCTAGCTGCTAGACCCCTCGACGCCATCGCTCGGCTCCGCAAATCTAAAGTATCATAAGACTTTTTCAGTAGTAAATATAATTGTAAAACTCTTTCAATAGCCGGCATTAATGCGAGCTGTCTCCCGTCTGGTCTTACCCTGGTCTTACCCTGTAATTTCTGGTACTCAGTTCCAGTTGCCTCACAAAATTGTTGTAACTTCGCCTCTCGCACAGTATAAATGTGGATAAATGAGTACATTTTAACAATTATACATTCTATATCAAATGCAAGCAATCTGTAGCACATTTTATGGCGTGAATCACGTGAGTGACACATCTATATAATTACTGTATCTACTTGTAATTTAGTTTAAATTCGTATTATCTCAACAAAATGCTAAAATGTTGATAAAATATTGTGTTCAGCAGTTCAGCACATCGTTGTTTACATGTGCTTAGACCACGTTCAGTGGACAGATTTCATAATTTTTCTTTATATTTTTGTTTTTGTCACCAAGAGTCAATTAAATTTACCAATGCCGTTCTCCTCAGTAGTTATATCTACCGCATAGTTCATCTAGCCATCGTCTATTAATTTAATTATTTCAAATTTTTGATCTAATATTAAAGTAACATGTTTACAAAGTTCGATAGGCCAATATGTAACATGTAACAAACATTAATAATGACCACTTGATAAAAAAGAGGTGATCGATGTTAAATTTATTAGTAAAAATATATTTACAAACAAATGGATGTATATGACATCAGGATTACTGCGTTGATCGGATTATATCGAAGGGGGTCTAGATTATCGAAGATCTACTAACTGGTCTAACTGTATTGTCTGTATTACTGTACAAACATTCATGCATTCAAATTTGTTTTAGTCTTATTGAAAATTTGTTGTTTAAAATGATAATATTCAGTTTCTCAAGCAACTGCCTCGGTAGCGCAGTAGGCAGCGCGTAAGTCTCATAATCTTAAGGTCGTGAGTTCGATCCTCACCTGGGGCAAAATTTTTTTAAATTTTTTTGCTCTCCATATCAGTTCAATATTAGTTTCAAGAACGCTGAATGATACACAAAAACCAAGTAAAATTCAATTTACTTTTATGATTTCTAACTGAATTATTTTAATCCATACTAATTATTTGGATTATCCAATTTATTTTAATATTATATTAAGTTGTATAAACCAATGTTCCCTGATATATAATTAAAAATTGTATTTTTCTTTTTATATAACTATATTAGGAAGTTTTCAGCATTAAGCCATTAAGAATATACTGAACTATATTAAGTAGGTATTATTAATATTATTAGAGTGCTCTACAGAGAAATAATAATGCAAGTAAATTTCGTTTAAAAAAAAAACTTCCAAGACTTTGTAGTTCGTAGTGAAAAGTTTCACTGTACCTAATCCAATTACAATGATTAGTGATACCTAACTGATTATATATTAATAATACAATAAATGCAATGTTTTCGGCAGAAATTAATTATAAAAAATCAAAAAATCGTTATATCTTTTCCCCAACTTCACCCCAACAACAACGAAAGATTTAGTTTGAGTATTATGAAATTTCAAACATTGATTATTCGGAATTAAAATCATGAGAAAATTTTAAAATATGGACTGACATTATAAAAAATACAGATCAGTTTTCGAAATATTATCGTATTATAAGGTTTATCAGCAGGGCTAGGATTTGTATGCAATAAAAAATTGTAAAATATGCATTTTATTTATCAAAATATGCATTTTAATTTCTATCTTAGATTTTATATTGACCGACAATCGACATACTTTTATTAATTGTGTTTATCTTTCTCCGTCAAACTATTCAATCTTTAATCGCATACCTATTGTACCATATAGGATTGTATTTATAAAAATAAAATTTGTGTTTGACAAAAAAACCAAGTTTTATACTTTAATCAGCAGAGCTAGAATTAAATATGAAATATTAATTACGAAATATACTATAAAACCTGAATTTTTCGCATTTTATCCAAAATATGCAAAAACATGTAAAATAAAAACACCACCATTCATCTCATCATGATGAGGTGAATTGTGGACATTACTGACAAATATGATAATAAAAAACCGTCTTCGCTCAGAATCGTTTTTCGTATACAATTATATAATATCATTGGATTCAAATAATTCCATCCATTACAGTAACCCACTTGTAACCTACTGCAGTACAGCAGAGCGACATCCACGACTTACCCGCCTTTTTTTTTTTTTTTGATAAAGGTAGACAAACTGAAATGAATCTTGAATTAAATTTTCAAATCTCAGATTTAAAATAAAAAATTTTATGAATTTCTATATGTAAAATAATTTGAACATTGCCGTAATTTAGTCGAAATTTGAACTTTAATTGCTTATAAAAAAAAAATTGAGCCAATGTATTATTTTTTAACTGCTATTGAAACAATATGTTAAAAGCCTTGTATTAAATTTTTAAGCTTTTTGACCAACCAATAAAATTTTATTAACATTAATAGTAGAAAGGCGGGTAAATCGTGGATGTCGCTCTGCTGTACAGTAGGTGGTTACAAGTGGGTTACTGTAATGGATGGAATTAAATTTGAATCCAATGATATTATATCATTGTATACGAAAAACGATTCTGAGCGAAGACAGTTTATCTGTCTAGGATATATTATAGATTATTAAAAATTTTCAAATATAAGATTTAAAAAGACAATTTTTTATGAATTTCTAGTTTAAAATAATTTGAACATTGCCGTAATTTTTACGTATTTAGTCAAAATTTGAACTTTAAAAAAAAAATTGTGTCCATGTATTTTTAATATTTTTTAACTGCTATTGTTACAATGTATTAGAAGCCTTGTATTAAATTTTCAAATCTTAGATATAAAAGGAAAATTTTTTATGAATTTTCGTGATTTWTACGTATGTTGTCAAAATTCAAACTTTGAATCCTTGTAAAAAAAAATTGTGACTATGAATTCATTTTATTTTTCAACTGCTATTGTTAAAATGTGTTAGAAGCCTTGTATTAAATATTCAAGCTTTTCTATCGAACAAACACATTTTTATCGATATTTATAGAAAAAAAAAAACTAAAAAATTTGAAAAATTAAAATGTCAGTAAACAGCTCAAAACAAATCTAAATATTTTGAAAATGTTATCAAATATAGAAAATGTCTAAACATTCAGTGAAAATTTCAAGTATCTGCGGTCATTTGTTTTAGACTTTTAGAGTTACACCAAAATAATAAAATCACTAAATGTGAAATCCAGTGGAAACCCAATGTTGTAAAAATTTAAATTTCAAATGCTCATAAAAATTTAATTTGAATTTCTGGTGGACTTTTATTTGTGATAAAGATTGACAAACTTGTAAGGAATCTTGTATTAAATTTCTCAAAAAAATTTCAGTTGTCTATAAATAACTCAAAAAAAAGTCAAAAATTAAACTGTATATAGATAACACTAACAAAAAACAGCTAGTTATGCTGTACACAGACACAAAAAATTAAAATGTCTTTTAACAGCTCAAAACTAATCAAAATATTTTTAAAATTTTATCAAATATAGAAAATGCCTATATAAACATTCAGTGAAAATTTATAGTATCTGTGGTAATTTGTTATAGAGTTACACTAAAATAAGAAAATCGTTAAAGGAGAAATCTGGTGAAAATCTAATGTTGTGAAAATTATTTCAACCGCTCATAAAAACTTAAATTGACTTTTTGGTGGATATTTCTTTTTGTGTTAAAGGTTGAAAAACTTGTATTAAATTTTCAATATTTTTTATGAATTTCAAGCTAAAAATAATTTACGAATTTTTGCGATTTTTACATATTTTGTCAAAATTCAAACTTTGAATGCTTATAAAAAAAAAAAATTGTGACTATGTATATCTTTATTTTTCAACTGCTATTGTAACAATATGTTAGGAGCCTTATTGTATTAAATTTTCAAG